AATGTGTGAGTGCCTGTAAATTATTGCTGATTAACTGTCTGATTGGAGGTGAGAGTGTGTCCGTGCGTGGTTCCCAGGTGGACGGTCCGGTGAACGGGACAGGATCCCGCCCCAGTCTCCCCCAGAAGTAGTCCATCAGTTTGAGCCGCCTGTGGAAGGCATGGAGGTCCACCCTGAGTTCCGGCCGTGTAGGGGGTTTGGGTGTGGGGATGAATGTGAGGCCTTTTTTCCAGTAGTTCCAACTGTGCGGCTGTGGGGGAGAAAACGGCAGAGAGGTTGGTGATATTTGACAGGTGGGGAGTTGTGATGGTACAGTTATCCCCGGTTACCAGTTTAACTGCTGTTTCCAGTACCTCAGCAACATCTCGGCCGTCTTTGTGGTCCAGTGGATGTCGTCCTATCTTACCTGGAAAAGTAGCGCGTTTATCTCGGGTATGAATGTGTATTTGCAGGCTATGGTGTCGTTAAGTGTGGTTAGAAGTGTCTGTTTGAGTTGGTCCAGTCTATTTGAGAAGTTAATTATGGGTATGTAAATGGTAGCGTTTGGAAAGGTGGCTACACTCTCCTCTCTTTCCACATAGCCTGCAGTTGTTTGATGGATGTAGTCGGTGTGTGTTCTGAAAGTCCGTTATTAAGTCCTATTGAAATTATTACCTGAGTGGTGTTGTGGCAGGGGGGGGAGTTTTTTCAGGATGGCTGTTATGTGATGGAATTTTGCACCTGGGAAACTGTCTATCTGAAGGTTGGGGTCTGTGGGGATCCGGGAAAAGTTGGAGTCACCTAAGATGAGTGTCTTCTTCCGCACTTCCAGCGCCCATATCTGTAATTTTTTGAAGGTGTGTGGGTGAGTAAAGGGTTCCTGACGGGGTGGGGAGCCAGGTGCTGCCGCAGATGCCCCGGTCGGGTGGGAGGTGGATGCCTCAGATAATGGGCTTGAGTTCATTAAGAATTTCGTTTTGCCCTGCATCGTCATTGTTTCTGTGGAGTTTACATCCACCTGAGGCCATTTTATACCTTCAAGGGGCTCTGCAGCAAACAACTCTGGCTCCCTCTGCTGTGGGGACTGTGGGGCTGTGGGTGAGAGAGGAGAGATGGTGTTACTGCATGGGAGAGCAACATTACTGAAGGTCTGTGTCTGCTCTGTGGTGTTGTCTGTTGTCTGTGGGGGTGAAGAAGCAGGGGAGGAAGGGGCAACGGAGGGGCAGGCTAAGGAATCAGCCCGGGCTGCACCCAGGCGGCGGAGTACCTGTTGGGGAAGTTTATGGATCTCGACCTGGATCCGCCGTCTGGGGTAACGTTGAGGCAGCGGGGGCTGGGTACCATCGCCGGCCCCCCCGTCGTCACCGCCCCCCCCGACGTACAGAGGCTTAGGGAAGTAGATGGTGTGGTGGACGGGAAGGGGGGACGAGGAGAGGTAGGGAGAGAAGAGAGGGGAGGGTTGGAAGGTAAAGAAGGGTTGGTGGGAGAACTGGGTTCAGAAAAGGGTGAAGATAAGGTAGTAGGGGGAGGAAAGGATGTGGGAGGAGGGGTAACAGGGAGAGGTGGGAGATTAGGTTTAGGGGAAGGAAGAGGGGGAGAGGACGTGGGAGGGGAAAGTTTAGGTTTAGGTGAATGGGGAGGGAGAGTAGAAGGGAGGGAGGAGAAGGGTTAGGGTTAGACATGGTTAAAGTTTGTAAAACCATTTAAAAAAAAAAAAAAGGTTTTAAAGGAATTGTAAAAACAATTAAAAAGGGTTTTAAAAGGGAGGGTTTTAAAAGGGAGGGTTTCCTCGACGTTTTGCCTATCCGGCTTCTTCAGGAGGAGATAATGAATCTGAGCTGACAGGTGTCTTCTTTTGTAATGGCTGATGAAACCTGTTCTCAGCACTATGTCTCTGCGTTTAATGACTGTGGTTAATCAACAAATTCCTTTTTTTCATCGTGTTGTGCTTGTTAGGAGTTTCAATTCAGTGAGAATCTTCTGCATGAAGTGCAACATTGGTGATTTTATTCTAAACCAATAGAAAGCTCTCTCGATCTACAATTTACACCACTGAGACTAAAGTAATCCACGGAATAACAATGAGACAGTTGCTCCGGACTGCTTGCTAGTTAGTTTTCCGATCAGCCACGCAGAACATATTGCAGGTTTTTCACAAACGATGCGCGGCGGCCTGCTGGGGATAAGAGTCACATTCATGTGTGAATATTTGAAAATTAACGTTTAGAGAGTAAAAAAGGGAATGAAAGAATAAGGTACATTTGGCCCAGTTAGGTCTTCATTTCATCATCTGGATTTTGTGAACCTTGAAAGGCATTTAAAGGCAATGTGATGTACAATACACAAATGCCACATTCACACACACACACACACATAAATCAAATCAAATCAAGTTTTATTTATAAAGCACATTTAAAAGCGATTTTTGGTCGAGCCAAAGTGCTGTACATGTAATAAAAACACATTACTACAATCACAATAAACACACACCTAATGAGTGCTCACACACACTTAGAATCAGCGCATGCTATTTGTCACACCACCGTGTTTCACTTCCTTGCCATGATAACATAAATATATATGTGGGTGTGTTTGTGTGTGTGTGCTACCATGAGTAATCCTATCTAATGAGCGCTATGTAGAATGACAGAGCAGAAAAATAACAGCTGCCAGTTTTTCAGGTTTGAACAGTCGACTTATGAGTGGAGTTCATCTCGTACAAAGGACTTTATGTTATTTTATAATGTTATAATATCCCTATGGTTGATCAATAAAGGTCCATCTCATCTTATTACAGAGCTCTTGGCAGATATTAGTTTTGAGCCACAGTAGTTTTATTTTATTTTTAAATTGGTCTAATGACATCTCTATGTACTAGGGATGTGCATCTCCATCACTGAGGCCGATGCGATGCGCATCTCGATACGTTGCCAACGATACGATACATTAACGATACATTTGAAACACCAGGCGATGCGATACGATACGATTCACCCCTGTTGCGATACAGTTCGATATGATTTGATTCAACATTATGCGATACGGGGCGATACGATGCGATTCAACACAATGCAAAGTAATGATACTTCAATATGGTACTACAGAGGATTTTTGTTTTATTGCTTATATGCAGCAAATCATAAATTAACAAAAAAGTGCTTCACATATTTGCTTCTCTCTACTAGTACTGCGCATCCCATCATGCTGTTTCTTTTTTACCTTTTTTATCTTAAAAAACTCTCCAGAGTACAGTACAATTGTATAACACCTCACAGTTAAACAATTTAAGGATGCATTGCCCATGATTAACAATGTGCAAATAACAACTACCATAGTGCAATGCCCATACAACTGCCAGCCTGATGTGCTTAACACTCATCCATAGGCTAACTGACCAGTGAGCAGAAAGCAGTGGTGTGGTTTCTATACGAACAATAAAAAATACAAATAACCTTTCACAAACAGGTATTTCATAACTGCTTACAATTGTAAGGAATACATTTAAACTAGTATTGGCAGTCACAGACTGTTGTAAACTAAACACCACTCTCTCTGAGTGAATTAACTCATATGTCTAACTTTCAGGTTTTTCTTTTCAGCCGCAGACCCCATGTCGCCTCTTTATGTGCGTCGCTAAGTTCCTCGTACTACTTGCGATTTTTCAAGTTGACCGTCTTTCTTGAAAAATCCGAAGTGTTGCCAAACGTTTGTTTTGTAGGTATTTTTCGGTGCGCTGTGTTTCTCTTTCTCCTCGACTTCCATGTGTGTTGATAACTGAGACTCTCGGCCTCCGTAGTGCGAAGCAAAGATCAAAGATCGTCTCTGCTGAGTGCTGACAGGATGAGAGGATATTATATGAATGAATCGTTTTTTTACCGATGCAAAGACGCTACAATCGATGCATCGCGAGTTCAACCCAAACTGTAGCCGATGTGCACTCTTTCAACCGGTGCACTCACATCTTGAACGTTTATGCCAGTGCACCGATGTGAATCGGTGAATCTTAACATCCCTACTATGTACCCATTTGGTGGATGTATCAATTTGTTCAGCCTAGCTTAGCACAAAGTCTGGAAGTTATGCTACTTAAACTTTAGATGAGGTAGGGTTAGGTTAATCTGGTGGATGTATCTATGTGTTTAGCCTAGCTTAGCACAAAGTCTTTAAGTTACATTATGTTACTTAACCTTAAGGTGAAGTTGGGTTAGGGTTACGTTAATTTGTTGGATGTATGTGTTCAGCCTAGCTTAGCACAAAGTCTGGAAGTTATGTTACTTAAACTTTAGATGAAGTCGGGTTAGGTTAATTGTTTGGATGTATCAATGTGTTCAGCCCAGTTTAGCACGAAGTTTGGAAGTTACGTTATGTTACTTAAACTTTAGGTTAAGTCAACAATTATTGCAACTTTGAAAACTTTGAAAACGACATTAAGATCATTTGAACATAACTAGACCAAAACTACAATAAACACACATAATACAATACAGGAATGAACCTAGAAAGAGTTAGCACTAGCGTTTTAGTGTCTTTCAGCGCACTGTTTTGGTTTCCCAAACTTTACTGTTTTGGTTCGTTCTCAAGACTCTCATCAACCCAAACTAGTCACCTTATCCATAGGCCTGCTGACCCAAAAATGAAACAATTTTATTACACAAAAGATAATTATTTATTTGAGTTTTTTATCCCGTCATGTCTGGAAAAACAATCTTTACGAGACAATGCAAAATCTTTGAACATTCTTTTTCAAACTTAATCCAGTCCTCTGCAAAATGATTGACTTTCCACCAGAAATTGTATCAAGATAAGTTTAACTCTTTGATTAAAGGAAGAAATGAGGAAAATCACATTTGAATTAATTATATTATTTTAAATCACAAGAAGGGTTATTGCTAATTAAAACATTTCAGTTATATATCTTAAATCATATTTTCTATTTTCGAACAATTAGGACTCATCAAATCAAGTGAATGAGCCATTTGGGCACAGAAACCCTAAACTTGTCTTTCTCCAACATCTCCATGTTATATGCCTCCGACCAGCGCATAGAGAGACATAAGGAGAAGACCGAGTGAGGAGATCACTCTCTCACCACTGCCGAACACACTGCCGTCCTCGGTGGGATAGGTGTGTTGGGTGGTGGGATAGGTGTGTTGGGTGGTGGGATAGGTGTGTTGGGTGGTGGGATAGGGGTGTTGGGTGGGGGTGGGGGTGGGGATTGTTGGACAGACAAAGTTTAAGTCGCTATCAACTCCTGAGGACATGTAGTCAACAAAGCCTGGTTTGCTGGAGCCAGTGTGATATTTGATCCAGTCTTCGTACTGGGACACACGGGTGTAACCTCCAGGAAACTTTGGCAAGGCACAGCCTTCTCCAAAACTCACGACGCCACTCTGGATCCAGACTGAACCCTTTTTGATCATCATTGGTCCACCTGAGTCTCCCTGTAGAAAGAAATTGATGGTTGAGGTTATATGATAGAAGCATCCACCCTGCTAAAGCATGATTCCCCTAAGGCTCTTTGTTTGTTTCAGTCTGACCTCCCTTAAAATAAATGTATGAAGCTTTATCTTAATCATTATGTCGAAAGCTGGCTTTTTCCATGTCTGAATAAAAATTACGAGAACTTCATTTGGCTTCAACTCTGTGTGTTTATTTGTTGGCCGTGTCAACATGTTTTTAGCCTAGCTTAACACAAAGTGTGGACGTTTTTCCCTCAGTGACGTTCTATTGCTTAAACTTAAGTCAACAATTCTTGCAACAGGGACACACCTTGTAAATAAAGTAATTCTAACATAACTAGAGCAAAAGTAAAAAGTCAAGCGTGTAAACGTGCATGAACTGCAGCTCATGTGTGTGATATTACAGTTCATAATTCAGGGATGCATATTAAGATTATTTTGAAACGTATCTACTGGTTATAAAAAGCCACCGGCCTATTGAAATATATATTTTTTCATCCCCCTGTACAATACATTTCTGAAGAAAGTGTCACAAAGTAAATACAATAAATAAATATGTTGGTTAAAGTCCCCCATGTCTATAGGGGCTTGAGTCCCTTGCGTGTTTTTGTAGGTGGTTAAAGTCTTTCAGACATTTCTGAAGAAAGTGTATTTATAGAGAGTAAATACACAAAAAGTTGGTTACCTGACATGAATCATTCCCTCCAGCTCTTAACCCAGCACAGATCATGTTGTCTGTGAGATCGTGGTAGGCACATGTGCACTCATTTTTTCCCACGATTGGGACCCTCACTTCCTGCAGGGTGTCGGCTAGGGGGCCATCTAATCAGAGATAGTTCAAACGTTAAGATTCAAGTTTCAAGGCTTTTATTGTCATGTGTACATAGCTACACTGTAGTTATGACAATGAAAATCTTAGGTCACAGGCTCCTCCAACAGTTCAACACAATAACACAGATAACATAGTAGAAGTAAATACAATAAAATAGAATATAATAGAAACAAAATATAATAACAGTGCAGAATATTCTATATACAGTAATTGGAATATTGATATATGAGTTGCAAACAGATGAATGTTATGTATGTTCTTCCCATTGATGGCGATAGGGGCGTGTCCCTCTCCCTGCTGCTTCCTGTAATCCACAATCAGCTCCTTGGTTTTGCTGACCTTGAGATGGAGTTTGTTATCCAGGCACCAAGATGTCAGGTTTTCGACCTCCTCTCTGTACGCCGTCTCGTCGCCGTCGGTGATCTGGACGGCCGCGTTGTCAGCAAACTTCACGATGGTGTTGGAGCTGTGTGTGGCCACGCAGTCGTGTGTGAATAGAGAGTAGAGGAGAGGGCTGAGCACGCAGCCTTGAGGGGCTCCGGTGTTGAGGATCAGGGTGGAGGATGTGATGTTTCCCACACGCACTGCCTGGGGTCTGCCCGTCAAGAAGTTCAGGATCCAATCAGAGAGGGCGCTGTTGAGCCCGAGGTCTCTGAGCTTGATGACCAGCTTGGAGGGCACAATGGTGTTGAAAGCTAAACTGTAGTAAACGAACAGCATTCTCACATATGTGTTATTCTGGTCCAGGTGTGAGAGGGCAGTGTGGATGGTGAGGGCTATGGCGTCGTCTGTTGACCTGTTTGCTCTGTAGGCAAACTGCAGGGGGTCCAGAGAGTCAGGGAGGGAGGAGGTGATGAATGTTTTGACTAACCGCTAAAAGCACTTCATGATGATGGAGGTGAGTGCTACTGGCCGGTAGTCGTTGAGGCTGGTGATTTTAGACCCTCTGGGGACAGGAACGATGGTGGAGTGTTTGAAACATGTGGGGACTACAGACTGCAGATGTCTGTGAACACCTCTGCCAACTGAACTGCACACACCCTGAGAACACGGCCAAGGATGCCATCAGGTACAGGAGCCTTGTATGGATTAACCCTTTTAAAGGATTTGCACACATCTGCCCTGTCTAAAACAAAAGGGCAGGGCTCCTGATCCTTCTGTGCCTCCACAGCCTGGCTGCTCTCGAATAGGCAAAACAAAAACGTTCAGCTCATCTGGGAGAGATGCGCACGCAGTAACCCCCGCTGCTCCCTTGTAATCTGTCATTGTTCTTAGTCCTGCCCACATGTTCTGGGTGTTACAGCCTTTGAAGTCAGACTCCACTTTGTCTCTGTATTGTCTCTTTGCAATGCTGATAGCTCTCCGGTGTTCATACCTAGATTTCTTGTACTCCTCTGAATCTCCACCTCTACGCACGATAGTGCGCGCTTTCAGCTTGGTACGCACCTCGCTGTTTATCCAGGGCTTTTGATTCGGGAATGTCTGTACAGTAACCTTCTGTACCACGTCATCGATGCATTTCCCAATGTAGCAAATAACCGTGTCCGTGAGTGTGTTGATATTTTCGTCCTCAACACACACCACTCCGTAGATTCAAAGCAGTGCTGCAGAGCTGAGTCTGACTCCTCACTCCAGAGCTGTCTACTCCGTGTCACCGGTCTGTCCCGTTTCAGTTTCTGCTTGTAAGCAGGCAGCAGCAGCTGTGAGATATGGTCTGATTTGCCGAAGGGAGGGCGAGGGAGAGTGAGGGAGAGTGAGGGAGAGCTTTATATCCATGTCGAAAAGGGGAATAAACATGGTCCAGTGTATTTCCGCCGCGCGTCGGGCAGCTGATGTGTTGATAGTACTTTGGCAGGACTTCCTTTATATTGGCGGTGTTGAAATCCCCGGCCACAATGAAAGCCGCCTCTGGCCGTGAAGTCTCAACACGTTCTCACTCCCAACCCGTCACATGTTGACGGTCGGTCACGTTCCCTCCCTGTCACCCTATTACGCACATGGTACCCCTTGAGCGTCAGTTTTCAACGGGCAGGGCGTCCCATTGACTTGCATAGAGCTCCCTGAAAGTTGGTAATAGACGAGTTGGGATCGCGGCGAAATGCTCTCCGCAGATCCATTCTCACAGCGTTTATCAACCTTTTTCTTACTCAATATCAAGCCACACTCATTGTGTTTACTTCTTTATTTTAATTGAATAATGTCGGACTTTTGTTGCCGTCAGTTAGGGGGAGAGTAGGGGCTCAGAAAACTGAAATCTGTATTGTTTCATCGTTTTTTCCTTCTAATTTTGTATTATTTTCTAAACCACACACTGTTATTTACTCAACAATAAGACACAATTATCCTTGTGTTTATTTATTTGTTTGATTGTCGGAGCAGCTCATAGTAGTTGCTTTAGAGAATTTTACACCCGGAAGTAAGTATTCTCTCCGCTATGTTTGTCCTCAAGCTCTGTGATTGGATGTTTGAGTGGCAGTGCGCCGAGGGTTACGCCGAGCGTCAAACAGAACTTTGAAATGGGATGGAACCACGGCAGACTATTCAAAACTGGATTAGTATAATCACACAAATTCTGTGTTTTATATTTAATAATTCTGTGTTCTTTATTTATTGAATGTTCAATACCTGACAAGGTCGGAGATGAAAAACTTGGGTCGCAGGTTCCTCAACAGTGCATTACAAGACATCTATCAATATGTGTGTATACCTCCACCATTAAACTGTCATATTCTGCACATTTCTTATACTATCTACCTACATCTTATAAGAGTATAATACATATGTATAATATCAGTTACAAAGAAAAAAAAAAAAAAAACGGATTTCACATCTTATAAACACCATATCCCAACGTGCATTGCGGCTAAAACATCCAATCACAGAGCTGAGGATCTTGCCTACGTCTGTTTCCGGTATTATTTATGACAGATGTATTTTGTTATTACAGTAGTGCCGAGAGACGGGAGTCGGAGGCAGGGTATCAAAGGTACAAGCTAGACTTTTATTTAGCATCAGAACAACATGTAAACAGCTTCAAGCCCGGGAAGCGAAGACCGGGGTAAACAGGAAGTCCGGTTAACTAAAATGTCCGTGCGGAACAATAGATCCGTGGGTGAATAATGTCAATCACCACATTACACACATTCCTTCACATTTTCATTTTAATTTAATTTACATTAAAGTATTTCGTGAGGCCTTCTAAAATGTTTTTAAATATAATTAGGGTTGTAGTTGAAGAGTTTGTAAATTGTTCAGGCAACGCAATCGCACAACGGCACGTCCGTTAATTCCACAACCACACACATGGATTAACATCGATTTAATACATTAATGTAGCCTTTGTTTCTGCTAAAAGAGGTGTCAACCAGCTGGGGCAACAAGAAAATCGGCGAAATCGAGTGTGACTATTACAAAATAAATAATTATTATATTAATATTGACAATAACAACCGACCGTCGGGGTAGAGCATTTGCCGGGGAGCGTTCTCATGGCGTCTATTATCAACGCTATGGGAGGTCTATGAAGGTCTATGGGACGCCCTGCCCGTTGAAAACTGACGCTCAAGGGGTACCCTGTGCGTAATAGGGTGACGGGGAGGGGCCCTGACCGACCGTCAACATGTGGCGGGTTGGGAGTGAGAACGTGTTGGAAGTCTCTGTCCTGTCGATTACACCAAACAGTTCGTCCAGCGCTGTGTTGTTGTCAGCATGTGGGGGAATGTACACAGCTGTAATCACAACCGATGAAAATTATCTTGGTCGATGGAAAGCCCGGCATCCTATCATGAGGTGTTCTAAATGAGGGGAACAGTACGAAGAAATAATCCCCACGTCTGTGCACCAGTTATTGTTTATCATGACGCACACACCTCTTCCCTTGCTTCTCTCTGAATTAACAGTCCGATCCTGGCGAAAAATAGTAAATTTGTCGGGGGCAATGGCGGAGTCCGGGACAGCGGAGTTGAGCCAAGTCTCCGTGAAAATGATCACGTTACAGAATTAAGTTAAAATTGGTGTTAAAAAAGACAACATACATCCTTGTGTCTGTAGTCAGTGAGCTTACAATTTGATGTAGTACCAAAACCAACAACCCAGTTGTTGTCTCCGGTGTTGAAGGTGCTGTTTGCAGAGGCCAAGCACACCGGCTGGATGTAGTTGGTAAACGTCACCGGGCTCGACAGCTTCAGAAGAGCCATGTCGTTATCAAATTCGTTGAGAAGGTCGCCGTAAGCAGGATGGACTATGATCTTATCAATTGCCTTTGACACGTTGTTCAAGTTTGGACCAGACATGCTTTCGAGGCCCAGAACAACCGTCATGTTGCGACTTGAAGACAAAGAATCAACATGGTAAATGTAGTTTTGTGACTTTAAGCATCCAAAGTACTGATTGATCAATTATCTCATCTGGCTCTCAACTAGGAAGCAACAAATGAACAATTACTCTAAAATATCTAAAAGAAAACTTGATCAATGGTGACTCCTTACTCTGGGTTGCAGTGAGCAGCAGTCAGAACCCACATATCGCTGATCAGGGACCCTCCACAATGGTGCATGCCATTCACTTGTATACTGGCTACCCAGGGCCAAGTTCCTGCAGCCGCATTTTGACCTCCCACAATTCTGAGGTTGTTTGGTGCCCGGCCACATGCTGACAGAGAAAAGAGAACAGATTAGACATGGACATGTAGAACCAGTGCTTTTCATAACTCACTGAAGAAATCTTGAAGAACTTGTTATGTTGCTCTTGGACGCTTACCTGGCTGCTGTTGTGAATGACATCCTGAAATTGAGAACACGGACAGAAAAATGTTATGCAAACGTCTTGGTTGAAACAAACGATGACAAGCATTTAGTGATGTAACAATTCACATATTTTATTTAAGTAAACTACACGCATAGTTCCTGTGTTGGAATTTTACTGAGGTCAGATGATTGACTTTAGTTAGATAAATATTTAATTGATAATTCATAGAACATGGCTTGTTGCTTGATTGACTTGGCTGGTTCTGTTGTACCAAAATCAATTTGTTTATTTTTTCAATGTAAAAATCGTATTTGTAAACTACCTAGTATCTAGGTAAGTGAAAGTAGTACAGTATATAATATATTCCCTTTGATTTGTAGTGGACTTGAAGTTTAAGGTAGAATGAAAAGATAATACTCAAGTACTTCATCATTGTACTTCAGTAAATGCACCTACGATCCATCCTTGCATGCCTTTTATGAGCACACATCAACAACAGACCTGAGATGTGGTAGTTTAACAGAGGGCCTGCTTTATTGAAGGCAGAAATGTCCTCTTCCGAAATATTTTGAAAACATAAAACATATCCTTTCAGTTCACTTTAAAGTCTGACTTGTCGTGACACAAAATCTGCAGTCTAGCCCATCCGAAACTCCTGATGTACTTACTGATAATGCTTTATTTCTGACATTAGTTTGATAAACTTCGCACAGCACGTCTTGTCCAATATAGAATAGAACACACTCGTGCTCATTTTATCTCAGCAACCAAAGTGAACACGAGAACACCAGAGAATTCATGAGTGCAAAATAAAATAAAAATTGAAAATACGGCAACAAAAAATCGGCTCAACCAGTTTAATTTTCTATTAAATCCCATTCTTTCGGGGGGTTTTTCGACTCATTTGCTAACGACGGGGAGACAAAATATTCCTGTTGTGTTTTTGAGAGGATTTAAAAAAAACACAATGACTACAATGGGTTTCATATTACTTCACGGTCCATTGACCCAGATGGGTAAACCTAGTTTGAAATATTTCACTTCTGCACTGCCTCTCCAGCAGACAAAACCATTTCAAAGATTAACCCAAATCAAAGTACCAATACTTTTGCTGACCATGTTATTAATACTTTTTTGAATAAAGAAAGAGAAAGACTAGATCCAATGAATATAGTGCAAGAAAAAAAATCCAAATCAAGCCGCACGGTTAGCACTGATTACAAGCACTCTGACACTTCAGTGACTTTAATTGATTGTCCTTCACATGCACTTGAACTCCTTTTGATTACATTATACAATCAGTCATTTGTTATTAGTAGATCAAATATGTATTCTTTAATTTGATCAGCTACACAATCTCTACTATTTTGGTCCCTTGAGATACCAACATCAACTCAAACACATTAGCATAATATCATTCAACAACAAAACATTTGTAATTGCTTAAAGAAAAATCACATAAACGTTCTCACCATTGGATAAGAGGATGATCATCACCGCTGAACCACACAGAAATTGGTAGAAAGCCATTTTTGCCTTCTTCCCTCTGTGCTCATCATTTAATACCCTGAACCTGATACCTAGCTCCGCCCACAACTTTAAACCGTTCACCTTTAACTCGCATTTTTCTATTGTTACACGTAGCAATCGATCACACAGAAGTTAACTTCTGTGTGATCGATTGTCTAACTTGTTTTTCTTGATGCCTTTGTGTCTAACTTGTTTTTCTTGATGCCTTTGTGTCCGCAGCATGCATGAAGCTCCCAGTGTTGCATTGTTCACTCAGATATAAATGAAATGGTTCATATTGATTTCACCAGTTTTTTGTTTTAACTTTTACGATTCCTTTTAGTCTAACATGAAAAAAACAATAATTCTCACCATTAGAAAGTTAAGTCATAAGTTACATTAAAAAATAAAAAGTGACCTTTGTTTTCTTCCATCTTTTGCTCCATTGGACGTCACTGTTCAATAACCCAAGATTAGTAGATAAAAAGTGTTGCTTAATGTTTGTCAAGCTGCCTATAGGTGTCTTCTTTTGTAATGGCTGATTAAACCTCTTCTCAGCACTATGTCCATGCGTTTAATGACTGTGGTTAATCGACAAATTCCTTTTTTTGTGCTTGTTAGGAGTTTCAATTCAGTGAGAATCTTCTGCATCAAGTGCAACATTGGTGATTTTATTGTAAACCAATAGAAAGCTCTCTCGATTTACAATTTACACCACTGAGACTAATCCCATCCACGGAATAACAATGAGACAGTTGCTCCTGGCTGCTTGCTAGTTAGTTTTCCGACACACCTAACCCTACACACACACACACACACACACACACACACACACACACACACACACACACACACACACACACACACACACACACACACACACACACACACACACACACACACACACACACACACACACACACACACACACACACACACACACACACACACACACACACACATAAATGGAGAATGACAGAGCAGAAAAAAAACAACAGCTTCCAGTTTTTGAGGTTTGCACAGTCGACTTATGAGTGGAGTTCATCCTGTACAGAGGACATTACGTTTTTTTATAATATCCCTACGTGGATCAAAAAAGTTTTAATGTGTTTCAGCGCACTGTTTTGGTATCCCAAACTTTACTGTTTTGGTTCATTCTCAAGGCTCTCATCAACCCAAACTAGTCACCTTATTCATAGGCCTGCTGACCCAAAAATAAAAAAGATTTATTACTCAAAAGATAATTCTTTATTTTAGTTTTTTATCCCGTTATGTATGGAAAAACAATCTTTACAAGACAATGTAAAATCTTTGAACATTTATTTTCAAACTTAATCCAGTCATCTGCAAAATGATTGACTTTCCACCAGAAATGAAATCAAGATAAGTTTAACTCTTTGATTAAAGGAAGAAATGAGGAAAATCACATTTTAATTATTATATTATTTTAAATCACAAGAAGGGTTATCGCTAATTAAAACATTTCAGTTATATATCTTAAATCATATTTTCTATTTTCGAACAATTAGGGCTCATCAAATCAAGTGAATGAGCCATTTGGGCACAGAAACCCTAAACTTGTCTTACTTCAACATCTCCATGTTATATGCCTCCGACCAGCGCATAGAGAGACATAAGGAGAAGACCGAGTGAGGAGATCACTCTCTCACCACTGCCAAACAAACTTTCGTCATCGGTGGTATGGGGGTGTTGGGTGGGGGTGGGGTTTGATGGACAGACAAAGTCCAAGTCGCTATCAACTCCCTGGGACATGGAGTCAACAAAGCCTGGCTTGCTAGAGCCAGTGTGATTTGTGATCCAGTCTTTGTACTGGGACACACGGCCGTAAACTCCAGGAAAATTCGGCAAGTTACAGCTTCTTCCAATAGTCACGACGCCACTCTGGACCCAGACTGAACCCTTTTTGATCATCATTGGTCCACCTGAGTCTCCCTGTAGAAAGAAATTGATGGTTGAGGTTATATGATAGAAGCATCCACCCTGCTAAAGCATGAATCCCCTAAGGCTCTTTGTTTGTTTCAGTCTGACCTCCCTTAAAATAAATGTATGAAGCTTTATCTTAATCATTATGTCGAAAACTGGCTTTTTCCATGTCTGAATTAAAGTAACAAGAACTTAATTTGGCTTAAACTCTGTGTGTTTATTTGTTGGCTGTATCTATGATGTTTTTAGTCCAACTTAACACAAAGTCTGGACGTTTTTCCCATAGTGACGTTATATTGCTTAAACTTAAGTCAACACTTCATGCAACAGGGACACACCTTGTAAGTAAAGTAATTCTAACATAATTATAGCAAAAGTAAAAAGTCAAGCTTGTAAACGTGCATGAACTGCAGCTCATTTATATTATATTACAGATCATAATTCAGGGATGCATATTAACCTGTTAAGCCCCGAGCCTGTTTTTCAGGTTTCAGGCTCGAAAATGACATGCCCAAAACAAATGACTACAACTTAACTTCTAAAAGGGTTATATGAATAATTTCTTTTATCAAAGCAAGGTTACATCTGTGAGTTGGATTTAGAAGTGTCAGAATCAATATAGATTTTTCTCAGTCAAAGTAAATTCAGATGGAACATAGCAAAAAAAGGTCAATTCTTACCTCCGCCGAAAGAAAAAACATTACTTATAGTGAAAACCACCCTTGAATGATGGGATGGTAGACTAAAAGCTTTTGGAATCCAAAGTATAACATGTAATAAGTACCCTGTATCAAGATTGAGGCAAAACAAGTGAAATTTGACCTTTTTAGAGAGGTTTAGCAAAAAAAAGGTCCAGGCGGAATAAGCTTTGGGCACATTTGGGTACATCTGGTTCCATCAGTGCCATTTGACCTTTTTCAGGTACCAGACTATAAAAATGGTGTATTACATTGAATTATCACCATAGGTATTCATTCCATCCAAAGAAAAAAAAAAAAAATTAAAAGATGAAATAAAAAAAGGACCCGCCGACGGGGTCTTTGGGGCTTAACAGGTTAAGATTATTTTGAAACGTATCTACTGGTTATAAAAGCCACCCGCCTATTGAAATACATATTTTCCTTTTCTCTTTCATCCCCCTGTACAATACATTTCTGAAGAAAGTGTCACAAAGTAAATACACAAAAAGTTGGTTACCTGACATGACCCCTCCCCTCCAGATCTGAACCCAGCACAGATGTTGTCTGTGAGATCTTTGTACGGGTAGGCACATGTGCACTCATTGTTTCCCACTACTAGGACCCTCACTTCCTGCAGGGTGTCGGCTAGGGGGCCATCCAAACCTGGATAGTTCAAACGTTAAGATTAATATTGGTGTTAAAAAAGACAATAGACATCATTATGTCTGTAGTCAGTGAGCTTACCACTTGAGTTGGCACCAAAACCAACGACCCAGCTGCTGTCACCGGTGTAGAAGGTGCTGTTTTCAGAGGCCAAGCACACCGGCTGGATGTAGTTGGTAAAGTTCACCGGGCTCGACAGCTTCAGAAGAGCCATGTCGTTGTTGTTGTTGTTGTACCAATAGTAGTAATTCCAGATGTTGAATGAAGGATGGACTATGATCTTATCAATTGCCTTTGACACGTTGTTCAAGTTTGGACCAGACAAGCTTTTGAGGCCCAGAACAACCGTCATGTTGTTGGGGCGGCTTGAAGACAAATAATTAAAATAGTAAATGTATTTTTGTGACTTTTAGCATCCAGAGTACTGATTGATATCAATTGTCTCATCTGGCTCTCAACTAGGAAGCAACAAATGAACAATTCCTGTAAAATGTCTAAAAGAAAACTTGATCAATGGTGATTCCTTACTAAACGATGCAGTGAGCAGCAGTCAGAACCCACATATCGCTGATCAGGGACCCTCCACAATGGTGCCTGCCATTCACTTGTATACTGGCTACCCAAGGCCAACTTCCTGCAGCCGCATTTTGACCTCCCACAATTCTGGGGTTGTTTGGTGCCCGGCCACATGCTGACAGAGAAAAGAGAACAGATTAGACATGGACATGTAGAACCAGTGCTTTTCATAACTCACTGAAGGAATCTTGAAGAACTTGTTATGTTGCTCATATACGCTTACCTGGCTGCTGTTGTGAATGACATCCTGAAATTGAGAACACAGACAGAAAAATGTTATGCAAACGTCTTGGTTGAAACCAAGGATGGCAAGCATTTAGTGGTGGAACAATTATCTTCAACAACAATCTTTTATTTAAGTACACTTACTAATACCACACTGTGGTATTTTTTTTATGTAAAAATCTTATTTTGTAAACTACCTAGTATCTAGATAAGTGAAAGTATTACAGTACATAATATATTCCCATTGATTTGTAGTGGAGTTGAAGTTTAAGGTAGAATGAAAAGATAATACTCAAGTAAAGTACTTCATCATTGTACTTCAGTAAATGCACTTACGTTCCACCTTTGCAAGCCTTTATGAGCACACATCAACAACAGACCTGAGATGTGGTAGTTTAACAGAGGGCCTGCTTTATTGAAGGCAGAAATGGACTCTTCCGAAATATTTTGAAAACTAAAACATATCCTACAGATGAAGCGTCTTATTTTGGACAGTTTAAAATGCGAGGGTCGTGATCGGTTCGTGCACGTTCCGTGATGGCCGGCCGGCCCCCAGTCAGACTTGATACCGCCCCCATGATAAATACATTTAATTATTGTGAAGCCAGCTGCAATGGATCATTGATCCACCATGGGGTGCAGTGGGGTTCCACACTGGAGTCATGTGAAATCAACTTCTCTGTTGTTAATAATGTTGTTTAGTCGGAAAAAACGAACGAGCCGGCTCTCCCGATTTTTAATCCTAATTTAATCATCATCATTGATGTTTATGTTCGCCGAATTGACATGAAATCACTGACAAATATGAATATTCTGTATTCAACTTCATTGAAACGATCAGGATGGGTGTTATTTTTCCCCACAATGACCAAGTCGCTGCAAATGATCCCATGTATTATGTACATGTACATGGCCACATTCTCAACAAAGTTACGTAACGAAACATTCTGTATTCCTTGCTTACTTTTTATTTAATGCTTTATAACAGCTGGAATAGTTCGTTTAGAACAGGCACCTCACTCGCAATCTGCTCCTCCGCAACGCCTACCACCTACCTCCGGCTGAAATTATGAATGTACAGTAAGGCATAGTAATCATAGATAACACGGCAGGCTTCGTTACAGTTTGTTTTCATCTGATTTCAAATATTTCAAATGTCTGAAGTTAATAAATACATTCTCAGTGTTCAAGTCAATAATAGTCATATAAGAAAAGTACTGATCTAATAACAGAGATTTTATAAGGACTTTTCAATGTTCGACATCGCTCATGTGAAATACAGTAAACTGGATGTTGTGGTGCCGAGAGGCGGGGTATCAAAAGTACAAGCTAAACTTTTATTTAGCATCTGAACACACTTGTAAACAACGTGATGCCCGGGAAGCGAAGACCCGGCGGAAACAGCTGGTCTGGTTCACTAAAATGTCCGTGTACAGTATATCTGGTACTAATGTATAGCGGATCTTTGTTAAGATCCATATGTCAGTAGAGATGGGATGGCAGAAGGTGCTATATATATATATATATATATATATATATAATTCCAAAGCTGGTAAAGACCTTTCAAATTTAGCAATAATAGTCATATAAGAAAAGTACTGATTTGTTCTTGAATCAACTTTTTTATGGAAAATGTTTTATGTAATTTTATTTCATTTTAAATAAAATGAAAGACATTCACAGTTAATGTAATTAGATATACATTATTAATGCCATACATTTTTGCATAAATATTTATTCAGTATGATAGCTGTCTAACAGAAGTTAAATCCATTTCTCACTTATTCTGACAATGTACTTAACCCCAAATAAAAGAACCCAATAAAAATAGTTGTTAAATAATAGTGAAGTCACGTTGTAATAACAATAACTCATCTCTCTCGGTTTTTTTTGTTTTCTTTGTGTGCTTTGCCAAAAGCCACTGTGTCAAGTGTCCTAGTTGGGTTACCGTAACGAACAGCAGCCGGCTCTCGATTTTTAATCCTAATTTAATCGTTTATGTTCGCCGAATTGACATGAAATCACTGACAAATATGAATATACTGTATTCAACTTCATTAAAATGTTATTAACGTGCCTAAACTCAGTAATTCACTAAAAATTACTGATCCCTCCGCGTCGCGGAGGGATCTTGATCCCTGGGTGTTATTTTTCCCCATAATGACCAAGTCGCTGCAAATTATCCCGCTTATTACATGGCCACATTCTCAACAAAGTAACGACATGACTCCCAATATTAATTAAAATGCTTTTATGGATTTAGAAAATATTTTATTGATTTAAAACATAGTTCTATGTATTGATTTAAATTTACATGCATCCGCTAAGAAAAATAGTCCGTTGTTACCGTTTTTTAAACAGTCAGAATGAAACTGCAGCTCTCAGCTGTGTGTTCACACTCCTAACTCTGATCTTTCTTTTCCAACAGTTAAGTTAACTGTAGGTTACTCTGAGTGACAAGCTTACAGTTAGTGAAGTAACACTTTTTTTTTGTGAGTCACGACCTCGCTGTTTCATTCTAACATAACGCTCCAAATATGACTGTTTCCACTCGGACTTCAATACAGCAACACCATTGTTTGGTTTCCATGGTAGCGTGTCTCTTTAGTAGCGTGCACTCCTTTCCTGTAAATTACAGGTCCAGCCAGGCAAAACAGTAATATGAAATATGAACGTTAGTTTTTAACTGAAATTATCAAATAAAGTCAAAATGTCACAGTGTTTACAAACATTGACCATACCGTTCACCAGCCCCCACCCCACTCTTTGTTTAAAACGAATTGGCCATCGGAATGTGTGTGTCCCAACCCCCCCCTGTGATATCTCTTCGCAGGGGGGAGAGAGTTAGACGCTCGTGAATTGTCAACGGGGGGGGGGCCTCTCTGCACGGAGGAGCCGCGGAGAAGTGAATCACAGTGATCTGCTATTTTAAAGTAAATTCAACACATATCGACCCTAAATATAGCATATATTAAGAACGAGAAAGTGTTAACATCGTTTTTTGTAAACACATGACCAATGTGCGAGGGTGATGACATCAGAGCATCGTCCTATGGGCTTAGCCCCGGACAGGTACAACAGGTATTCACTCAGAGGGAGGTAGTTACCCATTTACATGTCAAAAAGCAACATACAGTAGGCGGGTGGGGGATGGTGAACGTTTACATTTCTCTACAGCAGTGGTTCCCAAACTTTTTGTGCCCAAGGCACACCAAAGGACAAGTAAAAATCTCAAGGCACACCTATTGTGCGAAATAGCCCTTATAACACGTGTTATCACTCATATCATGTAAAATATCTGTAAATGTGCATAATTATTTACTAATGCCAAATAAAATGTATAGATAGAACAATCAGTGGTTCAAGTTAGTATATTCCTCAGTGTAACATATCCACTAGTTGCAAAGCTTAAACATTTTTATATATTTTTTTATTTTAAGGGAAAGGATGTTTTCACTACTCAGTTTGTCAACTATGTTACGGACAAACTTGATGTCATTACAATCATTTGATTAAGTCCTGCACTTCAAGTAAAATCAAATTTGAAAGGCTCTTGAGTCTATTCTACCATATATCCAAAGATTTTTTAAAGTTTAAAAAATAATTGTATTAAAGTTTTGTTTTTTCATGTGATATGTTCAGCACTGTCATTAGATAGATAGATAGATAGATCGTACTTTATTGATCCCAAATTGGGAAATTGTTTTTGTTACAGCAGCATAAAAGGCATTTTACAATAAAACAAAATATACAAGAATAGAAATAAAATAAAATAAAATATAAAATAAAATATAAAATATACATGTCAAAATACAAAATAGAAAATATACATACAGATATTATATATATATATATATATATATACAAATATACAAATATATATATATTCAAAATATATGGAATTATGGAGTATTAAATATGAAACAGATTATGTGTGAGTAAAATGTACAAGGTGGTTTTATTTCTAGAGAAACTATGGAGCAGAGAGTTCTCTTCCAGCCAGAGGTGATTTGTTGTACAGTGTTATTGCAGTGGGCAGGAATGTTTTCCAGTATCTGTCCTTGTGACAGGGGAGCTGCAGCAGTCTGTTGGAGAAGGAGCTCCGTTGACTGTCCAGCTGCAGGTGGAGAGGATGGGTGGGGTTATCCATGATGGACAACAGCCTGTTCAGTGTCCTCCTCTCCACCACAGCTTCAAAGGGTTCCAGCTTGATGCCGATGACTGACCCAGCTTTCCTGATCAGTTTATTGATCCTGCAGGTGTCACCGGCTCTGATGCTGCCCCCCCAGCAGACCGCAGCAAAGAAGAGTGCACTAGCCACAACAGACTGATAGAAGATCTCCAGCATCTTACTGCATACGTTGAAGGATCTCAGCTTCCTCAGAAAATAGAGTCTGCTCATCCCCTTCTTGTACACAGCGTCAGTGTTGATCCTCCAGTTCAGCCCATTGTCTAAGTGCACTCCCAGGTACTTGTAGACCTCCACAACTGCCACATCCTCTCCCAGAATGCACAGGGGCAGAGGAGGAGATGTCCTCTTCCTCCTGAAATCAATGACCATCTCTCTGGTCTTGGCCACATTCAAAAGCAGATGATTTCTTCCAGTCCACTCAACAAAATCACCCACCAGCGCTCTGTACTCCTCCTCCCGTCCATCCCTTATACACCCTACCACTGCAGAGTCATCCGAAAACTTCTGCAGGTGGCATGACTCTGAGTTGTATAGAAAGTCAGAGGTGTATAAGGTGAACAGGAAAGGAGACAGCACAGTCCCCTGTGGGGCTCCAATACTACCAACCACCACATCAGACAGCACACTGCCCAGCCGGACGTACTGTGGTCTGTCCGTGAGGTAGTTGGTAATCCAGGAGATGGTGGACGAGTTTACCCTCATAGCCTGCAGCTTGTCACTCAGTAGCCGAGGCTGGATCGTGTTGAATGCACTGGAGAAATCAAAAAAGGTGATTCTCACAGTGCAACCCGATCCATTCAGGTATGAGTGAGCACGCTGCAGCAGGTAAATAATGGCATCGTCCACCCCCAGGTGAGGCTGGTAGGCAAATTGCAGAGGGTCAAGGAATGATCTCACCTGCGGTCTGAGATGGGCCAAGACCAGTCTCTCAAGCACCTTCATCACATGAGATGTGAGTGCTACAGGGCGATAGTCATTGAGCCCAGAAGGAGTTGTCTTTTTAGGGACCGGAACAACGCATGATGTCTTCCACAGCACCGGGATGGTCTCCAAGTGCAGGCTCAGGTTGAATATATACTGGAGAACAGGAGCCAGCTGGCGTGCACAGGTCCTCAGGACCCTGGGGCTGATACCATCAGGGCCAGCAGCCTTGCCTTGGTGGAGTTTTTCCATCTGACTCTGGACCTGTCCTGTGCTCACAGTGAAGCGGGGGGGGGGGCTTGATGGCAGGGGGGATAGAGGGGGGGGGGTCTGAGGCAAGATGAGCAGAGGGGGGGGGGGGGGGGTCAGCGGCAATGTGAGCAGAGGGGGGGTGCAGAAGCCAGGCTGGGTGGTGGAGGAGAGGTGTGAAGTGTAGGTGGTGAGCAGAGGGGGGATGTTGACGCCAGGCTGAGAGGAGGAGGTGAGGTGAGAAGAGGAAGTGGAGGAGACAGCAGCGGGCGGAGAGCTAAACCTATTGAAGAAGGTGTTCAGCTCGTTGGCCCTCTCCAGGGTGCCCACAGTCAGTCTGTCTCTCCCTTTGAAGCCAGTGATAGCCTTCATCCCAGCCCAGACATCCCTGCTATTGTTCAGCTGGAGCTTAGTCTCCAGCTTCTTCCTGTACGAATCTCTGCCCCTCCTCAAATTGTCTCTCAGTTGATGCTGGATACTCTTCAGCATTGATTTGTCCCCAGACTTATAAGCTTCCTTTTTCTTATTTAAAAGAGTTTTCAGGTCACTAGTAATCCAGGGTTTATTATTGGGGAAACAGTTGACAGTTTTAGCCGGTAATATTGTTTGTTCACAGAAGTTGATGTATTCTGTGATGCAGTCAGTCATATTATTGATGTCCTCTCCATGTGGCACACAAAGCACGTCCCAGTCAGTGGTCTCGAAGCAGTCCTGTAGAGCCTCATTAGCCCCTGGAGTCCATTTCCTCACAGTCCTGGTGGATACAGGCTGCCTCTGCACCAGTGGGACATATTTAGGAGCCAAAAAGACGAGGTTGTGGTCAGATCTGCCCAGGGGGGGGAGGGCAGTGGCACAATATGCATTCTTGGTATTAGCATATAGAAGATCCAGAGTATTATTTCCCCTGGTGGGGCATTTCACATACTGAGTGAATGTAGGCAGAGATTTGTCCAGTTTTGCACGGTTAAAATCCCCAGTTATTGTTATGAATGCATTTGGGTGAAGAGTTTGGAGTTTGGCCACAGAGGAGTGAATGACGTCACCAGCCACCTCCGCGTCCGCGTTCGGTGGAATATAGACAGCAACTACGATGACAGAATAAAGTTCTCTAGGTAGATAAAATGGACGTAATCCCACAGCTAGCAGTTCAATGTCCGGGCTACAGAAACGCTCCTTCACAGTAACATGTCCAGGATTACACCATCGTTCGTTCACATACAGTGCAATCCCTCCTCCTTTCTTTTTACCGCTCAGAATAACGTCCCTGTCCGCCCGAACACTCGTGAAGCCGGGGAGAGCCGTGTTATTATCCGGGATGAGCGAGTGCAACCAAGTCTCGGTAAAACACATGATGCTACACTCACGGTATTCCCACTGCGTCTTCGTCAGCACGCGGAGCTCGTCCATCTTATTCCCCAAAGACCTCACGTTCCCCATTATGATGGCCGGTACACAGGGTTTGTACCTCATCTTCTTCTTCATCCTCAGCTTGGCCCCAGCTCTGCAGCCCCGCTTGAGCCTCCGAAGCTCCTCCGGGATGTCATGCCTGGCTCCAGGCAGCAGCACGGGTCGGCACAGCGCAATCAGCTGCTCACGCGTGTAAACAATGCCATCACTCCTCTGAGCATGGCTCTCCGACACAAAAAGTGAAAAAAGTAGCAGAAGAATGACCAGAAAACGTTCGAAGTAAAACGTGGCCATAGTTCGCTGCAAAACAAAATAAATATCCAAAGAAAAAAGTACAACTAAGAGAATAAAAGTAAACAAAAAGACAAAGAACAATAAAACACCGGGAGCTGCATGCAACAGGCAGCCACCAGCACGGCGCCTTACGCACATTTTAGGGATATTTTGTATTATAAAACTACCATACAGGTCATTTTGATAGTTTTAAGAGATGTCATGTAAAACTCCAACCTGTGTAGATATACATTATACTATAAAGGATATCAGAAGCACTATTTTAGATATTTTAAATTTGAAAAAATGAGGTGCAACATAGTTGACAATGAAAGTCAAACATTTGACGCAAATAACATAGTTGACTGGACACATTATTAACCATCAGCACTATGTTAATTTCAAGGCAGAAGTGCAAAATTCCATTGATAATGATGTGTAATGACGTCTACATGTCGTACAAATTGTCAACTAGGTTACCTGTCAACTAAGTTACTACAGTTATTACAGTACTGGGTAACTCAGTTGACAGGTAACCTAGTTGACAATTTCCCTATTTTGACCCATCATTTCAATGGTAGGCCTTGCCTGGATGACCACATGTCATTTTCTTGAACAGGTTAACATCACATTTGCACATATAATTGAATTAAAATCATTAAACAATTGTAAACCATAACAATGTACGTAACATTGTTGATTGTCAATGAGTATATTAATTGACCATGTGCTATTATACATAAAATATTGTAAAAATGTAGAGGACAATCACCACAGTGTGTTCAAAATGTCTGCCAAAGAGGAACATGGCATCATGTGATGCTGGTGACATGGTATTGGGACAAACAATTTTTGAGTTAAAGGGGGAAGTTCTGTTAGTAACATAGTTGACAGAACTTTTGCGGACATTCATATATTAAGATATTTAAATTATTTAAAGGGGGAAATCAATTAAAAATATGTTATTATTCTTTAGTATTTAGACTTTTGAAATAAATGAATCATTTTTTAAATTTACTTTAATGGTTTTTATTCATTATTTTGAATCCAAGACACCCTCAACTGAAAAACGGACATAGCAAAAACTGACAATTTAAGAACATCATGACACATTTCAAGCTAAATAAAGCATAGGATGCACATAATGTTTGTGTGATATTATAACATGCTTTCCAATAATAGGCAAAATATGATATTTTTGAAGAAAATAGTTAGAATAATTATAATTATCATCAATGGACATCAATGGACATGGAATGTACCCTAAATTGTAGAATCACTCAGCAGTTACATACACCAAACCTTCCAGTTATATTCCTATCAATATTATGAAGGCTTTTACAGAAGGGTTTGGTCATATATAATTCATAGCCTGAATTATATAACATTTTATACCTAAAAACATGGTGAAAATTGATATTTTAGGGCTGTTGACAGTATTTTCTGATTTATGGAGTGATACAAAGAGATATCACTCACTCAATTTCACTTTCCACTATGTCCACCGTTGTTTTTCACAACCAATGGCAGAACTTTATTGAGGCCTGTAATTAGTCAACTACAGGTCTCTTGGGTCAGTCTTTTTCTTCCAAAAAGCTTGTGACAAGATGTTATTGCTCTTGGGGCATTAAAAACAAGATTTTAACTTTAGTTTTTTATATAATATCTGCATTTTCTATTGTGAAAAACTAAGTCTTAGTTATTTAATATATAGCGCCATCTCCTGGTTAAACCCTGAAATTGGAGAATAGTGGGAGGGCCTAACATTCCTGAATACTGGTCTTTGGCAGGCAACTGGCTGGCAACTGGCTGGCAGTCGGCAGGAAGCTGTATGATGGGGTCCAAAATAAGAGGCTCCATCTGTATCAGTTAACTTTAAAGTCTGCCATGTCGTGTCACAAAATCTGCAGTCTAGCCCATCCAAAACTCTTGATGTACTTACTGATAATGCTTTACTTTTGACATTAGTTTGATAAACTTCACACAGCACACTTTGTCCAATAACACACTCGTGCTCATTTTGTTCTCAGCAATCGTGCAGAACAAGTGAAAACGAGAACACCAGAGAACTCATGAGTGCAAAATAAAATAAAAATTGAAAATACGGCAACAAAAAATCAGCTCAACCAGTTTAATTTTCTATTAAATCCCATTCTTTTGGGGGGTTTTTCGACTCATTTGCTAACGATGGGGAGACAAAATATTTGAGAGGATTTAAAAAAAACACAATGACTACAATGGGTTTCATATTACTTGACGGTCCATTGACCCAGCTGGGTAAACCTAGTTTGGAATATTTCACTTCTGCACTGCCTCTCCAGCAGACAAAACCATTTCAAAGATTAACCCAAATCAAAGTACCAATACTTTTGCTGACCATGTTATGAATACTTTTTTAAATAAAGAAAGAGAAAGACTAGATCCAATCAAAATAGTGCAAGAAAAAAATTAGCATAATATCATTTAACAACAAAACATTTGTAACCGTTTAAAGAAAAATCACATAAACGTTCTCACCATTGGATAAGAGGATGATCATCACCGCTGAACCACACAGAAATTGGTAGAGAGCCATTTTCACTGTGCCTTCTTCCCTCTGTGCTCATCATTTAATACCCTGAACCTCATACCTAGCTCCGCCCACAACTTTAAACCGTTCACCTTTAACTTGCATTTTTCTATTGTTACACGTAACAATCGATCGCACAGAAGTTAACACATATTTGAAGAAGCAATGCACGGGAATGTGAACAAAAATCCTTGAGTCTAACTTGTTTTTCTTGATGCCTTGGTGTCTGCAGCATGCGTGAAGCTCCCAGTGTTGCATTGTTCACTCAGATATAAATGAAATGGTTCATATTAATTTCACCAATTTTTTGTTTTAACTTTTACGATTCCTTTTAGTCTAACATAAAAAAAACAATAATTCTCACCATTAGAAAATTCAGTCATACGTTACGTTAAAAAAAAAACGTGACCTTTGTTTTCTTCCATCTTTTACTCTATTGGACGTCACTGTTCAATAATTCAAGTTTAGTAGATAAAAAGTGTTCGGTAATGTTTGTCAAGCTGCCTATAGGTGTTTCTTTTGCAATGGCTGACTATTTCTATGTGTTTAATGACTGTAGTTAATCGACAAATTCCTTTTTTTGTGCTTGTTAGGAGTTTCAATTCAGTGAGAATCTTCTGCATCAACTGCAAAATTGGTGATTTTATTCTAAACCAATAGTAAGCTCTCTCGATTTACAATTTACACCACTGAGACTAATCCCATCCACGGAATAACAATGAGACCGTTGCTCCGGGCTGCTTGCTAGTTAGTTTTCCGATCAGCCACGCAGAACATATTGCAGGTTTTTCACAAACGATGCGCGGCGGCCTGCTTGGGATAGGAGTCGCATTCATGTGTGAATATTTGAAAATTAACGTTTAGAGAGTAAAAATGTCAGGGTTGAGTGAAGCAGGCAGGACCCAAATGAAGGCGGTGACGGGACAGCTCTGGAGGACGGGCAGGAAGGCCATGACGGGACAGCTCCGGAGGACGGGCAGGAAGGCGCTGACGGGACAGCTCCGGAGGCCGGGCAGGACCCGGTGTCGGCCGGACAGGAACTGGAGCCGACGGGACAGGCGTAGACGGGATCCTGGACATGACATGGGCTGGTGTCAATGGGACCCCGGATGGAGCAAGGGCTGGTGTCGACTGAACAGGACACAGAGTTGGCAGGACCCCTGGTGGAACAGGTGTCGGCGGGACCCCCAACAGGACTGGATACAGAGTTGGCAGGACCCCCGGCGGGACAGGTGTCGGCAGGACCCCCAACGGAACAGAACATGGAGCTGGCAGGACCCCCGGCGTAGCACGTGTCAGCGGAACCCCCAACAGGACAGGATATGGTGTTGGCAGGAAACCCGGCGGAGCAGGTGTCGGCGGGACCCCCAACAGGACAGGATATGGTGTAGGCAGGAAACCCGGCGGAGCAGGTGTCGGCGGGAACCCCAACAGGACAGGATCTGGTGTTGGCATGAAATCCGGCGGAGCAGGTGTCGGCGGGACCCCCAACAGGACAGGACATGGGGTTTGCAGGACCCACAGCGGATCATGTGTCGGCAGGACCCCCAACGACACTGGACGTGGTGTTGGCAGGACCCTCAGCGGAACCCCCAACGCCACAGGACATGGAGTTGGCAGGACCCCCGGCAGAAGAGTAGTCGGCGGGAGCCCCAACGGGACAGGACATAGGGTTGGCAGGACCCCCGGCAGAACAGTAGTCGGCGGGACCTCCAACGGCACAGGACATAGGGTTGGCAGGACCCCCGGCAGAAGAGTAGTAGGCGGGACCCCCAACGAAACAGGACATGGAGTTGGCAGGACCCCCAGCGGAAGAGTAGTTGGGTGGACCTCCAACGGCACAGGACATAGGGTTGGCAGGACCCCCGGCAGAAGAGTAGTCGGCGGGACCCCCAACGAAACAGGACATAGGGTTGGCAGGACCCACAGTGGATCAGGTGTCTGCAGTACCCCCAACGACGCTGGACGTGGAGTTGGCAGGACCCTCAGCGGAACCCCCAACGCCACAGGACATGGAGTTGGCAGGACCTCCGGCAGAAGAGTAGTCGGCGGGACTCCCAACGGGACAGGACATAGGGTTGGCAGGCCCCCTGGCAGAACAGTAGTCGGCGGGACCTCCAACGGCACAGGACATAGGGTTGGCAGGACCCCCGGCAGGACAGTAGTCGGCGGGACCTCCAACAGCAGGCCAGGGGAGTGTTTTACTTTCTTGCCAGGATAACATAAATATATGTGTGTGTGTATGCTACCATGAGTAATCCTATCTGATGAGCGCTATGTAGAATGAAAGAGCAGAAAAATAACAGCTTCCAGTTTTTCAGGTTTGAACAGTCGACTTATAATGTTATAATATCCCTATGGTTGATCAATAAAGGTCCATCTCATCTTATTGCAGAGCTCTTGGCAGATAATAGTTTTGAGCCACATCAGTTATTTTTATCTTAAAACATTGGTCTAATGACATCTCTATGTACCTATTTGGTGGATGTATCTATGTGTTTAGCCTAGCTTAGCACATTGTCTGGAAGTTACATTACTTAAACTTTAGATGAGGTAGGGTTAGGGTTAGGTTAATTTGTTGGATGTTGGTGTTCAGCCTAGCTTAGCACAAAGTCTGGCAGTTATGTTACTTCAAGTTTAGATGAGGTAGGGTTAGGTTAATCTGGTAGATGTATCTATGTGTTTAGCCTAGTTTAGCACAAAGTTGGGAAGTTACGTAATGTTACTTAAACTTTAGGTTGAGTCAACAATTCTTGCAACTTGGACAAACTTTGAAAACTACATTAAGGTAATTTTGTAACGAAAGCAAAACGAAGATAAACACACACATAATACCAGGGCTGCCCCCAAATAGTCGACTAATCACTATTCGAATAATAAAGTATTAATCGAGCAATTTTCCATTAGTCGAATAGTTGAAAAATAAAAATGATATAATTTATTTTTAAAAAGCTACATTTTTCAGAAAATCAGCGAACGTGTCTCTGTTTTGAGGTTCCTAGAGAGAGAGAGCTGGGGAATGCTACGAGAGAGCTGACGGAGTATGTGAGTGAGGATTTAACCGAGTAATTTCATTGTTTTGCCGTGGTTACGGCCAACAGTAACCTTTGATCGTTATCAATGAACTCCCGGATAAAAGACATACAAAGCCTCCCTGTGTTCCTATAGCGAGACGCTACAATATAATCATTCTGACCTCAAAACGATAAAGCTTGCATGGAGGAATTTTTGCCGACGCTCATACGTGTTTCTGTTTCCTCTGTAGTATTTATTGGGTTGTTATCATCAGATATGAATAATGGAAACTAGATCTAAATGTTATGTGTGTGTCCTCAATGCTTGTTTTTAATTATTACAGTTTTATTTTATATTTTATGTGCAGCACAACGTACCATGCTGTTATAATAACGCTCTTTATCAGCCTTAAGAACTGAAACCATTTTGGGAGAAAAATAAATAAAAATGTAGAATCATAATGTATCATGTACACCGATTAGTTGACTAATCGCCTTAATTGACGACTATTGGTCGACTAGAAAAATCTTTAGTCGAGGGTAGCCCTACATAATACAATACAGGAATTAACCTAGAAAGAGTTAGCACTAGCGTTTTAGTGTCTTTCAGCGCACTGTTTTGGTTTCCCAAACTTTACTGTTTTGGTTCGTTCTCAAGACTCTCATCAACCCAAACTAGTCACCTTATTCATAGGCCTGCTGACCCAAAAAGGAAACAATTTTATTAAGATAATTATTTATTTTATTTTTTTATCCCGTTATGTCTGGAAAAACAATCTTTACAAGACAATGCAAAATCTTTGAACATTTATTTTCAAACTTAATCCAGTCATCTGCAAAATGATTGACTTTCCACCAGAAATGAAATCAAGATAAGTTTAACACTTTGATTAAAGGAAGAAATGAGGAAAATCACATTTTAATTATTATATTATTTTAAATCACAAGAAGGGTTATCGCTAATTAAAACATTTCAGTTATATATCTTAAATCATATTTTCTATTTTCGAACAATTAGGGCTCATATCAAATCAAGTGAATGAGCCATTTGGGCACAGAAACCCTAAACTTGTCTTACTTCAACATCTCCATGTTATATGCCTCCGACCAGCACATAGAGAGACATAAGGAGAAGACCGAGTGAGGAGATCACTCTCTCACCACTGCCAAACAAACTGTCGTCATCGGTGGTATGGGGGTAATGGGTGGTGGGATAGGGGTGTTGGGTGGGGGTGGGGATTGGTTGACAGACAAAGTTTAAGTCGCTATCAACTCCTGAGGACATGTAGTCAACAAAGCCGGGTTTGCTAGAGCCAGTGTGATTTTTGATCCAGTCTACGTACTGGGACACACGGGTGTACACTTCAGGAACATTCGGAGTGGCACAGCGTCGTCCATAACTCACGATGCCAATCTCGACCCAGACTGAACCCTTTTTGATCATCATTGCTCCATATGAGCCTTTCTGTAGAAAGAAAATGATGGTTGAGGTTATATGATAGAAGCATCCACCTGCTAAAGCATGAATCTCCTAATACTGTTTGTTATTTCTTACAGTCTGACCTGACTTAAAATAAATGTATGAATCTTTACCTTAATCATTATGTCGAAAGCTGGCTTTTTCCATGTCTGAATTAAAGTTACAAGAACTTAATTTGGCTTAAACTCTGTGTGTTTATTTGTTGGCTGTATCTATTATGTTTTTAGCCTAACTTAACACAAAGTCTGGAAGTTTTTCCCTCAGTGACGTTATATTGCTTAAACTTAAGTCAACACTTCATGCAACAGGGACACACCTTGTAAGTAAAGTAATTCTAACATAACTAGAGCAAAAGTAAAAAGTCAAGCTTGTAAACGTGCATGACCTGCAACTCATTTATGTGATATTACAGTTCATAATTCAGGGATGCATATTAAGATTATTTTGAAACGTATTTACTGGTTATAAAAGCCACCCGCCTATTGAAATACATTTATTTTTTATTTTCCTTCTCTCTTTCATCCCCCTGTACAATACATTTCTGAAGAAAGTTTCACAAAGTAAATACACAAAAAGTTGGTTACCTGACATGAATCATTCCCTCCAGATCTGAACACAGCACAGATAGTGGTGTCTGTGATATAGGGGGAGTACTGTTTGGAACATTTGCACTCATTGTTTCCCACTACTGAGACCCTCACTTCCTGCAGGGTGTCGGCATAAGGGCCACCTAATCAGAGAAAGTTCAAGATTGAAATTGGTTTAAAAAAAAGACAATAGACATCATTGTGTCTGTAGTCAGTGAGCTTACCACTTGAGATGGCACCAAAAGAAACAACCCAGCTGCTGTCACCGGTGTAGAAGGTGCTGTTTTCAGAGGCCAAGCACACCGGCTGGATGTAGTCTGTAAAGTTCACCGGGCTCGACAGCTTCAGAAGAGCCATGTCGTTGTTGTGGTCCCCCCCGTAGTAATCCAATATGTCGTACAAAGGATGGACTATGATCTTATCAATTGCCTTTGACACGTTGTTCAAGTTTGGACCAGACATGCTTTCGAGGCCCAGAACAACCGTCACATCGTTGGGGCGGCTTGAAGACAAATCATTAAAATACAACATTTATTTTTGTGACTTTTAGCATCCAGAGTACTGATTGATATCAATTGTCTCATCTGGCTCTCAACTAGGAAGCAACAAATGAACAATTCCTGTAAAATGTCTAAAAGAAAACTTGATCAATGGTGATTCCTTACTAAAAGCTGCAGGAAGCAGAAGTCAGAACCCACATATCGCTGATCAGGGACCCTTCACAACGGTGCTTGCCATTCACTTGTATACTGGCTACCCAGGGCCAACTTCCTGCAGCCAGATTTTGACCTCCCACAATTCTGGGGTTGTTTGGTGCCCGGCCACATGCTGACAGAGAAAAGAGAACAGATTAGACATGGACATGTAGAACCAGTGCTTTTCATAACTCACTGAAGGAATCTTGAAGAACTTGTTATGTTGCTCCTATACGCTTACCTGGCTGCTGTTGTGAATGACATCCTGAAATTGAGAACACAGACAGAAAAATGTTATGCAAACGTCTTGGTTGAAACCAAGGATGGCAAGCATTTAGTGGTGGAACAATTTATCTTCAACAACAATCTTTTATTTAAGTACACTTACTAATACCACACTGTGAAAATACTACATGCAAAGTTCCTGTGTTGGAATTTTACTGAGGTCAGATGAGTGACTATAGTTAGATAAATGTGTAATTGATAATTCATAGAACATGGCTTGTTGATTGATTGACTTGGCTAGTTCTGTTAAATGCACTTCTGCAATGCAAATCTTATTTTGTAAACTACCTAGTATCTAGGTAAGTGAAAGTATTACAGTACACAATATATTCCCTTTGATTTGTAGTGGAGTTGAAGTTTAAGGTAGAATGAAAAGATAATACTCAAGTAAAGTACTTCATCATTGTACTTAAGTTCCACCCTTGCATGCCTTTATGAGCACACATCAAAAACAGACATGAGATGTGATAGTTTAACTACTTATTTTGAAAACTAAGATATATCCTGCTATCACTGCTCCTAACACTAGGATGGGTCAAATGCAGAGAAACCCTTTCGTTACATAGTGCCTGTACTACGTAATGACAATAAGTTGAATCTTCAATCTTCTTCAATCTTCAATCCTATCAGTTAAAGGTGGGGTATGTAATTTATTTCAGAAACACTTTTTGTTATATTCCATGGAATGCTCTTAACATCCCGATAGCAATGAATATTGTTAAACTAATAAAGTATGCGCAGTCTCTTTTCTTCTCTCATCCATTTATTCAGGGACATGAACCAGCATGGCAGTGCTGCATAATCAACATGTGACATATAGCGCTCTGCGCTTATCATGCTTATGACGTCACAATGGGACGTACCATTAAACATGGAGTAAGGGTACTATTACAAAGTAATACTTAACAAATATATTAAATGCTTTGACAGTAAATACATTTAAAAAATTCATCTGTGGAAGCCGTACTTTTTTTCTCAGCAATCGCACGGAACAAGTGAACACGAGAACACCAGAGAACTCATAAGTGCAAAAGAAAAAACATTGAAAATACGGCAACAAAAAATCTGCTCAACTAGTTTAATTTTCTATTAAATCCCATTCTTTTTGGGGGGTTTTCGACTAATTTGCTAACGACGGGGAGACAAAATATTCCTGTTGTGTTTTTGAGAGGATTTAAAAAAAAAAATAAAAAATGACTACAATGGGTTTCATATTACGTGACGGTCCATTGACCCAGATGGGTGAACCTGGTTTGAAATATTTCACTTCTGCACTGCCTCTCCAGCACACAAAACAATTTCAAAGATTAACCTAAATCAAAGTAACAATACTTTTGCTGACCATTTTATTAATACTTTTTTGAATAAAGAAAGAGAAAGACTAGATCTAATCAAAGTAGTGCAAGAAAAAAATCCAAATAAAGCTGCACGGTTAGCACTGATTACAAGCACTCTGACACTTCAGTGACTTTAATTGATTGTCCTTCACATGCACTTGAACTCCTTTTGATCACATTATAAAATCAGTTATGTTCTAGTTATTAGTAGATGAAATATTTGCTCTTTAATTTGAAGGAAGATTTAGAGATCAGCTACACAATCTCTACTATTTTGGTCCCTTGAGATACCAACATCAACTCAAACACATTAGCATAATATCATTTAACAACAAAACATTTGTAACCGTTTAAAGAAAAATCACATAAACGTTCTCACCATTGGATAAGAGGATGATCATCACCGCTGAACCACACAGAAATTGGTAGAGAGCCATTTTCACTGTGCCTTCTTCCCTCTGTGCTCATCATTTAATACCCTGAACCTCATACCTAGCTCCGCCCACAACTTTAAACCGTTCACCTTTAACTTGCATTTTTCTATTGTTACACGTAACAATCGATCACACAGAAGTTAACACATATTTGAAGAAGCTATGCACGGGAATGTGAACAAAAATCCTTGAGTCTAACTTGTTTTTCTTGATGCCTTGGTGTCTGCAGCATGCATGAAGCTCCCAGTGTTGCATTGTTCACTCAGATATAAATGAAATGGTTCATATTAATTTCACCAGTTTTTTGTTTTAACTTTTACGATTCCTTTTAGTCTAACATAAAAAAAACAATAATTCTCACCATTAGAAAATTCAGTCATACGTTACATTAAAAAAAAAACGTGACCTTTGTTTTCTTCCATCTTTTACTCTATTGGACGTCACTGTTCAATAATTCAAGTTTAGTAGATAAAAAGTGTTCGGTAATGTTTGTCAAGCTGCCTATAGGTGTTTCTTTTGCAATGGCTGACTATTTCTATGTGTTTAATGACTGTAGTTAATCAACAAATTCCTTTTTTTGTGCTTGTTAGGAGTTTCAATTCAGTGAGAATCTTCTGCATCAACTGCAAAATTGGTGATTTTATTCTAAACCAATAGTAAGCTCTCTCGATTTACAATTTACACCACTGAGACTAATCCCATCCACGGAATAACAATGAGACCGTTGCTCCGGGCTGCTTGCTAGTTAGTTTTCCGATCAGCCACGCAGAACATATTGCAGGTTTTTCACAAACAATGCGCGGCGGCCTGCTTGGGATAGGAGTCGCATTCATGTGTGAATATTTGAAAATTAACGTTTAGAGAGTAAAAATGTCAGGGTTGAGTGAAGCAGGCAGGACCCAAATGCAGATTTCAAAGATAATTCCTTTATTCCAAGGTAACAAAGTCGAAAACAGAACACTACCCCGTGACACAGTCAAAGACAAACAAGGATCTAACCAAAAAAAAACAGAACTTAAATACACACAAGACTAATCACACAACAAGACACAGGTGAGGAGGGAGGAGAAAACACAGGGGCACCAGGTGAACACAATCAGGAAATCGGACACAGGAGGGCAAACACAGAGACAGGAATCAACAGACAAGACAGGGGATGAACACCTTTCAAAATAAAACAGGAAACCAGAGACAGAATAAGACAAGACAAAACACAACACAGACAGATCGTGACATTACCCCCCCCCTCAAGGGACGGATCCCAGACGTGCAAGGCAGAGTTAAAAAAGGGGCGAAGGCCACAGCGGGCGAACTCAGGGGGCCGGGCATGAGGGCGAATGCCGCGGCTGGGGAACTCAGGGGGCCGGGCTCGAGGGCGAATGCCGCGGCACTCAGGGGGCCGGGCTCGAGGGCGAACAAGAAGGCGGTGACGGGACAGCTCTGGAGGACGGGCAGGAAGGCCATGACGGGACAGCTCCGGAGGACGGGCAGGAAGGCGCTGACGGGACAGCTCCTGAGGCCGGGCAGGACCCGGTGTCGGCCGGACAGGAACTGGAGCCGACGGGACAGGCGTAGACGGGATCCTGGACATGACATGGGCTGGTGTCAATGGGACCCAACGGAACAGAACATGGAGCTGGCAGGACCCCCGGCGTAGCACGTGTCAGCGGAACCCCCAACAGGACAGGATATGGTGTTAGCAGGAAACCCGGCGGAGCAGGTGTCGGCTGGAACCCCAACAGGACAGGATCTGGTGTTGGCAGGAAATCCGGCGGAGCAGGTGTCGCCGGGACCCCCAACAGGACAGGATATGGTGTAGGCAGGAAACCCGGCGCAGCAGGTGTCGGCGGGAACCCCAACAGGACAGGATCTGGTGTTGGCATGAAATCCGGCGGAGCAGGTGTCGGCGGGACCCCCAACAGGACAGGACATGGGGTTTGCAGGACCCACAGCGGATCATGTGTCGGCAGGACCCCCAACGACACTGGACGTGGTGTTGGCAGGACCCTCAGCGGAACCCCCAACGCCACAGGACATGGAGTTGGCAGGACCCCCGGCAGAAGAGTAGTCGGCGGGACCCCCAACGGCACAAGACATAGGGTTGGCAGGACCCCCGGCAGAAGAGTAGTCAGCGGGACCCCCAACGGCACAGGACATAGGGTTGGCAGGACCCCCGGCAGAAGAGTAGTCGGCAGGACCCCCAACGAAACAGGACATGGAGTTGGCAGGACCCACAGTGGATCAGGTGTCGGCAGGACCCCCAACGACACTGGACGTGGAGTTGGCAGGACCCTCAGCGGAACCCCCAACGCCACAGGACATGGAGTTGGCAGGACCTCCGGCAGAAGAGTAGTCGGCGGGACTCCCAACGGGACAGGACATAGGGTTGGCAGGACCCCCGGCAGAACAGTAGTCGGTGGGACCTCCAACGGCACAGGACATAGGGTTGGCAGGACCCCCGGCAGAAGAGTAGTCGGCGGGACCTCCAACGGCACAGGACATAGGGTTGGCAGGACCCCCGGCAGGACAGTAGTCGGCGGGACCCCCAACGGGACAGGACATAGGGTTGGCAGGACCCCCGGCAGGACAGTAGTTGGTGGGACCTCCAACGGCACAGGACATAGGGTTGGCAGGACCCCCGGCAGAAGAGTAGTCGGCGGGACCTCCAACGGCACAAGACATAGGGTTGGCAGGACCCCCGGCAGAAGAGTAGTCGGCGGGACCCCCAACGGCACAGGACATAGGGTTGGCAGGACCCCCGGCAGAAGAGTAGTCCGCGGGACCCCCAACGAAACAGGACATGGAGTTGGCAGGACCCACAGTGGATCAGGTGTCTGCAGTACCCCCAACAACACTGGACGTGGAGTTGGCAGGACCCTCAGCGGAACCCCCAACGCCACAGGACATGGAGTTGGCAGGACCTCCGGCAGAAGAGTAGTCGGCGGGACTCCCAACAGGACAGGACATAGGGTTGGCAGGCCCCCTGGCAGAACAGTAGTCGGCGGGACCTCCAACGGCACAGGACATAGGGTTGGCAGGACCCCCGGCAGAAGAGTAGTCGGCGGGACCTCCAACGGCACAGGACATAGGGTTGGCAGGACCCCCGGCAGGACAGTAGTCGGCGGGACCTCCAACAGCAGGCCAGGGGAGTGTTTTACTTTCTTGCCAGGATAACATAAATATATGTGTGTGTGTGTGCTACCATGAGTAATCCTATCTGATGAGCGCTATGTAGAATGACAGAGCAGAAAAATAACAGCTTCCAGTTTTTCAGGTTTGAACAGTCGACTTATAATGTTATAATATCCCTATGGTTGATCAATAAAGGTCCATCTCATCTTATTGCAGAGCTCTTGGCAGATAATAGTTTTGAGCCACATCAGTTATTTTTATCTTAAAACATTGGTCTAATGACATCTCTATGTATCTATTTGGTGGATGTATCTATGTGTATAGCCTAGCTTAGCACATTGTCTGGAAGTTACATTACTTAAACTTTAGATGAGGTAGGGTTAGGGTTAGGTTAATTTGTTGGATGTTGGTGTTCAGCCTAGCTTAGCACAAAGTCTGGCAGTTATGTTACTTAAACTTTAGATGAAGTCGGGTTAGGTTAATTGGTTGGATGTATCAATGTGTTTAGCCTAGCTTAGCACAAAGTCTTGAAGTTACGTTATGTTACTTAACCTTAAGGTGAAGTTCGGTTAGGGTTAGGTTAATTGGTTGGATGTATCTATGTGTTCAGCCCAGCTTAGCACGATGTCTGGAAGTTATGTTACTTAAAGTTTAGATGAGGTAGGGTTAGGTTAATCTGGTAGATGTATCTATGTGTTTAGCCTAGTTTAGCACAAAGTTGGGAAGTTACGTTATGTTACTTAACCTCTTAAGCCCTGAGCCTGTTTTTCAGGTCTCAGGCTCGAAAATGACATTCCCAGAACAAATGACCATATCTTCCCTTCTAAAAGGGTTAAATTAATAATCTTTATTCTCAAAGTAATGATAAACCTGTGAGTTGGATGTAGAAAAGTCAGAATCAATATAGATGTTTTTTATTTTAAAGAAAATTCAGATTTTACATAGTAAAAAACTGTAAATTATAGTGTCCGTCCAAAAATTCTTTTTTACTTATAGGGAAAACTACCCTTGGATGATGGGTTAGTAGACTAAAAGCTTTAGGAATCCAAAGTACTACATATAATAAGTACCCTGTATCAAGATTGATGCAAAACAAGTGAAATTTGACCTTTTTAGAGAGATTTAGCCAAAAAACCCCACTTCTGGGGTCATTTGGGTGAATTTGACCTATCTCTGGCCCCCCTTGCTCGATTTTGATGAATGAAATCTCTTTATAACCGCTAGAGCCAATGGAATCGAGGGAAAGTTATATACACACCAAAACGTTAACAAATAAGGAGTGAGAGTGACGCGTTACCAACACCGGAAGCTGCATACACTCTGGTGGCTACCATTAGCAGCTAACTTTTCCGCTCCGATGTTTACATAAAAAATGGAATTATGGATTATAAATAATTTTTTCAAAGGCACAGGTACATTATCAACCTATGGATCAACAGTTGTAGCATTTTTTTGTCTTCGTTTTAATGCCATTGAACACATCTTTTGACCTAATTGACAGCTACGGTGAGACGATCTGCCGTAAAAGCTCTGTAAAGGTACGTGTTGTGATGTCTGTGTTTGCTTCCCCTGTCGCAAGTTCGGATCGCTCAGTGATGATACTATACCTAAATAATCTGTGGAGTCTCAGCTTTAATCGGCTATATTGTATGTGCAGCTACGATAAGTAATAAGGGTATCTTTATCTTGAATTGTGTGCCGCAGTGCGTTAGAATTTTTTCGCTCAGGGGTCATTTAGACGCTTCTTATGAGACTTGTGTTTTGTTTTGGTAAAAATGGTTCATATCTTCAGTTAGCTGAGATTCTTCCCATTAATCTGGTGCTACACATTAATAGTTTCATAAATGTTAAAAAGCCCTGAGACATTATCTCGAAAAAAAAAACGGTGGGAGGGGTCCAATGGGGGGACCGCCGTGCTTAAGA